TATGAAGCGAGTGTGCATTGCCTTCCTGATCTGATCGCATGGAGCCACTCGGCAAAGTTTGAATTTTTTTAATTCTTTGCCGAGTGCCCTCTGGCCGGCACTCAGCAAAGTTTGATTTTTTTTTAAAAAAATTCTTTGCCGAGTGCCCTCTGGGGCCGGCACTCGGCAAAGTTTGAATTTTTTTTAATTCTTTACCGAGTGCCCTCTGGCCGGCACTCGGCAAAGTTGGGATTTTTTTTTTAAAATTCTTTGCCGAGTGCCATGGTCATGGCAGTCGGCAAAGCTGGAAAAATGGTTTTCCGTCAGCCCATTTTTCCAGCTTTGCCGAGTGCTGTGACCATGGTCCTTTGCCGAGTGCAACACTCGGCAAAGTGACCCAAAACGGTCATTTTTTATTTTTTTACATTCCATCATGACAAATAAATTCATACAATCATATATCTCATCCATCACATATATATCTCATCCATCCACACATCCATCCGCACATATCACATATATAATAATAAGTGCTCAAGTCCATTCAAATAAATCCCAAAGTCCATCAAAGTCCACAAGTGCATCACAAGTATATCACAAGTCCATCACCAAGTGAACAACAAATGAAAAAAATACAACGTGCACTCATCTCGACCACTATGACTGTGGTGAAGGCCCAGCTGCATCATTCGGAGGTGCATGAGATGGATTATTCGAACCATCGTCAGATGGAGACTATACAAAGGAATAAAGATTGCATGTGAGACAAGATTATTTAGATAGTTAATCTAGGAAGGTAGAGACCATACAAGCAAAGCACAAGCGAAAGTAAAAAACTTTCATACTCATAGGAGTAGCTACAGCTGTAGGACGCGAAGGCGGATGTGGAACCAACAGCCTAGCTGGTAGAGAGAAGCCCACACGTTGCCAAAGCCCTTGTAGGAACTCCGTAATGTCCGTCAGCCTCTGCGCCTGGGCCTGCCGCTCGGTCTGCTCGGCGTCTAGCTGGGCCGCCAGCTCCTGACGTTACCTCATTTCTTGTTCCAGCCGGGCCTACAATATTTCACTCCAATGTTTCAGTAATGCAAAGCTAATTAAGGTGTGTAAAGATCAATGTATGACGAGTAAAACAGGAATAACCTCGAGTGCGTCGACTCGGTGCTGTGCAGCGATCGGCCATGTGCGAATGGCCAGGCTCTCGCTCGTGCTCCGTGCTCGGATCTGGGAGAGAGAGGGAGTAGAGGCCGTGTCGATGACGTCATGGCCAAGCCAGAACCGTCCATGCTTCTTGTCTTGCCCCGCCCTCATGACGGCCTCTCCATCGAAGTCCTGGGTGCTCGGATCGTGGTCTGACCCATGGAGCGACCTCGCCACCTCAGTGTACTCACTGATGTGGGAGTGGACGCTCGGGTTCGTGTATGCCTCGAGCGGGTCCTCTAGGTTGAAGGAGACGTCGGACGTCGCCTTGCCCTTGTGGGCCATACACCATGCCTGGAAGTCTGAGCAAGCCTGACCACTATGTGACGCTGACTGCGAGAAAGACAACACGATGATTACAAATCAGGCAGAACTGAGCGTCACAATAGATAAATGAATTCGCGTACCCATGCTTGTTTGTATCCAGTGAGGCTGCGGTTGCCTTGATGGTGTGCTAGACCTTGCATCTGCAAACGACGGTCCTGGGCATCCCTGTGCATCTTGAGGTACTCCTCCGTGAACCACCTCTCCACCATCATCGCCCAGCACTCGGGATACGCTAGGCACCACCAGGGAATCATCTACACGTCATCAAGTATTGGACATATAAGAAGATCAAATTAAACCAACTTAATCTCAAAATGAATCAATATTGATGTTCTTCGAACAAGCATGTATCTGCTCATACGGCATCTTAAGTGCTCGAAGGAGTTTCTGTGACTCGTACATGCTCTTTGGTAGAATGTGGCCCTCTGGAAGCAGGGTGCCAATCACGGCCAACATCTTATCGAAGATAGGTCGACTCAAGTTTAACTCGGACTTCAACCCCATTAAGCGTCCAATGGCATCCAGTTGAGACATCGTTGACTGATCGTGAAGGGGTTTCTGTGCCGAGTCCATCATGTCATAGAACGCCTGTGCGGCTGCCTCCATCTCCTCCTTCTCACGTCCCTCATCGAACTGTCCTTGGTGAAAGTCATCTAACATGTCTGGTACCCCCGGCATCAGCATCAAAAGCCTCCACCCGTGGTCTCACCACCTCCTCTCTCATACGATGGGCTTCACCATGGTGGACCCACCGGGTGTAGTCCGGCGTAAATCCATTCTTCACAAGATGTTTACCCATTTCCACCTTGTTTACCCTCCTCCTGTTTCCACATTTGCTGCAGGGACACAAAACTAGGCAATGTCCTTTAGCAGCCTTGCCAAATGCACTATTCAAGAAAGCATCAGTCTTGTTCATCCATTCCGTGGTGTAATCACTCTGACTTCTCTAGCCCGTGTACATCCACTGACGGTCATCCATCCTCTAACATATGTATCAGCGAGTAATGTAACCATCAATTGCATCTACATGGTGTTCCTACTATCTAATAGGTGAGGATAGGTCCTAATCCCACCCGCGGATGCGTAGATGAGGTTAGTTTCCATGCTCTACTCCTATCCGAGATAGAATTTCGGCAGCACCTCCCCGCTGTTCTCCAGATACACGTCCTGCCAAACAAGAGTGCGTATCCGGAGAACAACAGGGAGGTGATGCCGAAACTCTGTCTCGGACTGGAGTAGACCATGGAAACTAACCCATCTACGCATCCGCGGGCTGTCCAAAAAACGTGGACAATCCGAAACAGATACGGTCATAGATATGCAAAGATCTGCATACCTCCAACCGTATCTCTTTCGAACGGGAGACACCTAACTAGGTTACGTGATCTACGACCATGATACGAAAAGATGGGTTATACCTAGGGTGGCGGTGGAGTCAGGCTAGCGGGGCCGTGGCGGGTCGGTGCAGTGGCGATGCGGCGCGGTGCAGGCATACCGGCACGGCGACGGGAACTCCGACTCGGCTCCGACGGGCTCTTCTCTATAAAAATGGAACAAAATACTGTCATTTAAAAAAAATTCGGCAGAACCTCCCCTGCATGGTGAGGTTTCCAAAACCTGCAAAAAACAGCGGCACGATGGCCGACAAGCACATATGTCTCAAGAGAAGCCATGTAATTTGGATATCAATCCATGCAGAAGAATATATCAAGTAGTACCACTACTTCTACTACTACTTCCACTATTGCTACTACTACCACTAGTTCTACTACTACTACCACCACTATTGCTACAACTACTACCACTGGTTCTACTACTACTACTACTACTACCACCACTACTTCTACTACTACTACCACTAATTCTACTACTACTACTACCACTAGTTGTACTACTACTACCACTAGCACTACTAGTACAACTAATACTACTACAACTATCACTACCACGACAACAAAAAAGAGAAGGCATACCTGACGGGCGTCGAGGGTAGGGTCGTGGCGCGAGGGTGGTCGGGGTCGTCAGTCGGGAGGCAGAGTCGAACGGGTCGAGACGAGGCGGGGCAGCAGGGTGGGGGTGGTAGGGTGACTGGGCGGCTGGGGGCGGTGCAGTGGCGGTGTGGGGTGGCCAAGGTAGGGGCGCGTGGTGGGTGGGGCAAGGGGCTGTCTGTTTGATTGCCGTGCCAATTAATTTGCTTAAGTCCCAAAACCGCTCTTTGTCGAGTGCCGGATCAGGGAGGCACTCGGCAAAGAATTATTTTTTTAAAAAAAAATTCTTTGCCGAGTGTCACAGATCTGGCACTCGGCAAAGATTTAATTTTTTTTAAAAAAATTTCTTTGCCGAGTGTCCCTGATCTGGCACTCGGCATTTTTTTTTGAAAAATACTTTGCCGAGTGCCCCTGGTTTGTAAGCATCGTACGTGACAACATGCACGAAATCTTATGAAATTTTTATCATAGCCTCGACATATGATATCACGACATCTCAACAAGTTTCATGATTTTCGTACAATGTTTGCTTTTTATAGAATTTAAAAACACTTCGCACGCAAGTTCGCGATCATGTTTCGTGAACAAGATGTCCGAAATTTTGGGTCCGTTCCTGGATACAGCATCACACTACATTCAGTAACATGACTATCATTTTTTGTATCATTAAATTTCATTATTCGTACCACGTGCAGTTCAAAATTATATTTTTCGAAAAAATTCAAGTAAATGAAATAAAGTAACTAAATATATCAAAAAGCCATAAAAAATCCCTAAATTCTAACTAGGAGTTTCTGGTGCTTTAAAAGGGCTGCACAAAAAATTTGGAGGCAAAAAACAAAAGAAAAACTTTGCTGAGTGCCGGGACATGGCACTCGGCAAAGGGGGTCTTTGCCGAGTGCCACGGATAAGGCACTCGGCAAAGAGGGTTTCGAATTTTTTTTAAAAAATTTTCTCTTTGCCGAGTGCCTTCACAGGGCACTCGGCAAAGACATTTAAAAAAAAATTAAATATTTGCCGAGTGCCGTGCTAGGGGCACTCGGCAAAGTATTTTTTAATTTTTTTTTTGCCGAGTGCCAGATCTAGGACACTCGGTAAAGATTTTTTTTTTAAAAAAATTAAATCTTTGCCGAGTGCCAGATCTGGAACACTCGGCAAAGAAATTTTTTTATAAAAAATTAAATCTTTGCCGAGTGCCTAACAGCAGGCACTCGGCAAAGAAGGAAGTGGCCGAACACCGTTACGTGGGTCAGCTTATGCTGAATGCCGCGCTTTTAGCGAGAGTCTGGCACTTGACAAAGAAGTCCTTTTCCGAATGCATTTTTTTGCCGAGTGACCGGCACTCGGTAAAGAACTCTCTTTGTAGAGTGCAATTTTTTACCAAGTGCAGCACTTGGTAAAGAAGATCTTTGCCGAGCACTCGATTTTTGACAGTCGGTAAAGAATTTTATACTCGGCAAAGTGTTTGTTTCGAGTAGTGTTTGGAGTTTCAGCCACACGCGCCCGCAGCGCTCAGTCGTCGTCGTCGTCACCACCAGCAGCAGCAGCAGGCATCTCCTCGTGCCTGCTCTCCAATGGCGTCACGAACTTCTCCCTCCCAACATCCCCGAACTACACGCCGCTCCTCGACTCCTCCATCCGGAACCTCCGCTTCGCGCTCCCGAGCGTCGGCAAGCCGGCCGCCGTCGTGCTCCCGTCCACCAAGCGCGACCTCCAGCGCGCCGTCCTCTGCGCGCGCAACACCTCTCTGGCGATCCGCGTCCGCAGCGGCGGGCACAGCTACGAGGGCCTCTCCTACACCACGGAGAACCACGTGCCCTTCGTGGTGATCGACCTCGCCAACCTGAACCGCGTCCAGGTCGACCCGGCGCCGGCGGCGGGCGCGGTCGCCACGGCCTGGCTCGAGTCCGGCGCGACGCTGGGCGAGGTCTTCTACGCCGTGGGGCTGTCGAACCGGACCCTGGCGTTCTCCGCCGGGTCGTGCGCGACCGTCGGCATGGGCGGGCACACCGCCGGCGGCGGGTTCAGCCTGCTGTCCAGGAAATTCGGGCTCGCCGCCGACAACGTCCTGGACGCGGTCTTCATCGTTCCGAACGGGTGCTCCTTCACCCGTGAGTCCGTGACACCATGGACGACGACGTGTTCTGGGCCATCCGAGGCGGCGGCGGAGGGAGCTGGGGCGTGGTGTACGCTTGGAAGCTCCGGCTCGTCCCGGTCCCCGACAACGTCACCGTGTTCAGCGTAGCGCGATCCGGTCCGGCCGAGCTCATCGCCGGGCTGATGCACAGGTGGCAGTACGTTGGGCCTAGTCTCCCCGACGAGTTCTACCTCTCAACGTTAATTCCGGCGAGGTCATCATCGGACGGTAACATCTCCATGTCATTCACCGGCCAGGTTCTTGGACCGAAGCAGCTAGCCATGTCGGTGCTGAACCAGAGCTTCCCCGAGCTGGGCCTCGCCGAGTCAGAGCTCTCTGAGGTGAGCTCGCTCGAGTCGGCGGTGAAGTTCGCCGGCGTCAGCTCAGTCGCGAGCCTCACGAACCGGCAGCCTGGAGTGGGGGAGTACGCGAAGAGGAAGTCCGACTACGTGCAGGCGCCGATCTCGATGCAGGACACGATCAGGATCGTCCATCCAGCTGGACCCCTACGGTGGGGCCATGGCGCGGATAGGGAGCACCGACACGCCGTTTCCTCACCGTGCTGGATACCTGTACATTATCCAGTATGCAGTGACTTGGAATGCATCGGATATGGATCGTTCAGACGGTTATGTAGAGTGGCTTCGGTCGTTCTACGCTTTCATGGCGTCCTACGTGTCAAAGAACCCACGAGCTGCATATGTGAACTACTTGGACCTTGATTTGGGCACCAACGACTGGATGAATGCGCCCGGTGGAACGTCCAATGGCTCTGTGGGACATGCGGCGTCATGGGGCGAGCGATATTTCCTCATGAATTTTGCCAGGTTGGTTCAGGCCAAACTAAGGTTGATCCTGGAAATGTGTTCAACAATGCACAAAGCATTCCTCCTTTATATTTTAGATGATAGAGAGCACTGAACTTGTCATTGCATGTACTTACACCAACAATAAAAATGGAAACAATTTGCTGCGGAGTAGTAATGTTTTGGCCTCCAAAGCTCATATTGCTAGAGTTGTCACCGTTTTTTTTCAATTTAACCATTTTTTCTTCAAAAATTCACATGTACACCCTTGGGCGACGTAAACCCGTCTTTGGACCTTGGGCTCGGCGCCATGGCCTACGGCGCCGAGGTAACACGTCTCGGTGCCACAAGCCATAGCGCCGAGGATGGAAGTCAGGGGTGGCGTGGCCGGCGATGTGTCGCTGACGTGGCTAGAGCTCAGCGCCACGACTCCTACGGTTATTGTGGTGGCCTTTTGGCCTGTTTAGGATAGGAGGGGGTTTTCATGAAGGAATGGGAAAGATTCTAAAAAGTGTTAAAGTCCAAACGAGACCCGAAGAAAATCCAAACACACATGCAACTAAATTATATAAAGTGCACCAATTAATTATAATGTCCACTTTTGAAAAAGTTGGCACAGAGAGAGAGTCAGGGTTTCATTTTAGAAACAAATAGAAATTGTGCGTGAGGTATGTAGGTTGAATTTGAGCGGGGCTTGAATTCAACTCAATTTTAGTTTATTTGGAAATATTTTGTTTGAGAAATTTCCTTTACCATGTTTTTGATAGAGTTAACAACATGACGAAGGTGTTGTCTCGTTGTAAAAATTTTGAAGTTGTGATTTCGAAATCAGGATGAAAAGGGGGTTTGAATTAAGTTGACTACACATTACATGCCACACACACATTGCACAATTTTTTTTTAAAAGTTGGTATTTTTATATTACATAAAAACACGGAATGTTACATAACCTATCTCATACACAACACTAAAGTATCGCTTTGTCCACTAGTTGTCACAATTACCAAAACCAAACATAGGGTTTTCAGCTGTATCGCACCCCTCCCCGAACGGTCAGCCCCCAACACCGATGGCCATCATGCACCCCAACCAACGCCCCCTCTCACGTAGACCGTCCCAATGGCTGCCTCAGATTGATCATTTCACGAAATTATTCCTCATTTCATTGACTCATGAGTATGGAGGGCTCAATTATTATTACTACCTTCTTTGCAACATCAGTGCTAACTCCTAATCTAGATTAACTTCCCATCAATCCACAAAATGCATACCTTTGGTCACTTGAACCATTGTGCGCCAAGCTTCTTTCTTCGCCTATTGAAATGGGATTTACCATTTACTTCATCACTAAATAATTCTAGAAATTGTTGATTCTGTGATATTGGTGTGTTTGTCTCTAGTCCATGCAAAGGCTATTGATTATGATTAGCAACCCATCACCATGTTGGCTGCCATTGCCACCCATCTCTGCGCGTTACAAACGTCTAAGGTGCTTATAAATGAGAGTGATGATTTTTTCTGTTACTTTCGACCAAGAGACTTGTTCAACACATCTATGAATTTATACTCTTAATTTCCTACAACATTTGTCCCTAAAATTATCCCCTCACATGTATTCTTTTGCACATGAGGAAAATCATGTTTAGACATTTTGGTTCTCGAAGTTCATTTATGTATGTGAACATTGAGAAAAACAACAAAATTTGTGTGTGTCATTGAAAACATAGATGTTAGTAATCCATTAGCCAATAAACTGCTTCTTTCTTCTAGATCCCTATCAGACCCATTGGTTTTGTTCATTACTGCAATATAGTTTTAGTTTCGACTGAATAGTCTATGATCTATAACACACAACTCAAGTTATCTGCGTAGTATATCATAACTTCGTACATAGTTGAGGTTATCTACATAACATCATAGTATATCAGTCTTCCATGCAAAAATCAGCAGCTACACTCTAACCTTTTCTATATCAAACTTATTTGCAGAAATACCAGAATATAGGTAAAAAATGTTCAGCTACCAATACCCCAACCTCACAATAGTGGAAGAAGACGACAACACCTTCATCAGAGCTATGCAGTTGGAGAGCACGCTATTGTTGCAAAGTTTACAGAACATGCCTAAAATGACATCTTCCCATAGACTATCCAAGAGGCAATCCAACATCAATTTTAGGTTACCACCCACTTGCATGATATTTCACGATGCGACCCAGACTTCCTCATACAAGCACCCATGTCAACAACCTATGTTCTCATCCTATCCAAAGGATTTCATAATGTATCCGGCTTCATCCCCACCCTAATGCCATGGACTCCACCACAGTCCCACTAAATAGTCAGCTCACAAACTTAGGGAACAACAATTTCAATGCCATCACATGGCAGATGCAGAACCCTTTAGCAAAAACACCGATCAACCAAAGTATAGAGATTCAAATATCTGGAATTCCAGGGCATCTCTATAGCAACACAACAGTGTGACGTCTATTGGTAGACTTATGTGACATACCACAAATCACTTTTACACACAACAACTTCACATACTGGGTATTCGCGCGTATAGCGAACCTACCTTCCATTCTACATACACACTACAAGTTTAGGTGTCAAGAAAACAACACAGGATTGAGTCCTTCTCAACATTGGGCCAATATGGTACAAGACAACAAAAACCAGCTCCATCCACGATGCAGTCATAGAAGACCTTCACCACACATAATCGCTGTATGGAGATACCTAACATTATAGAATTCAATTACATTATACAAGACATGTAACCAGTGACTTCTACAACCCCTTGACTTAACTGAACTTTATCCTAACACATTACAAACAGAATCTCCTATGAACTCTACAATAACAAATCACATATTGCTGGCAGATGACGGTCCACTTTGCGGTCACTAGGTATAGTGCACCTAAAATACATCACATTCTTTAAAGTTGCACTAAATCTATTGCCCGATGCAATATGAAACACCTTGCTACCTTATCACCCATTCTCAATTTCGTGGGTTACTTAATAGGATACTACGAAAACTCAGGTGAAACATTTTCTATAATCCGATTCTAGCTATAAACTATTCCTAGGGCTTGGTTCAACTACGACCGTATTGCGTGCGCTTGCACAACTTAGGTGAAACATTATTGTTACAAAAAAACTAACACTCCTCTATTCTAGCTACATACATCTAATGTACTATATATGGCCAGACTCATCTGGTTAGCAAAGCACAGGCTCATTCACCAGTGACCTCTCTTGTCATGAACCGAAGTACTAAGAAGAATCGCATAAAACCATCAGCAGCCCAGTTATACATAATGTAACATACAAGCTACCACCACATGTAATATATAGCATCCTCGGCTTGTTGCAGACTTCAACAACATATATGTACTATACACACCCCGAAGATATATCTAGATACCTTGCATCGACTACGCTTTCATCGCCTCCGCGCGCTTGCGCGTGATTTGTACTAGTTTGCTACAATTCTTGGTGGATGTGTGCAGCTCAGGTGGAGAAAACAAGGGACATAAATGAGTCCTATCCAGTTTAATGTATATATGCGTACTGGAGGGAAAAAATGATAAGAATGAAAGCATGGACTGACTTCTCTCCATTGATATATATACAAATCAATGTATAGGGTTAGTGTGGATATTTTCCCACTTCTCTCCCGTCTGGTTTTTACAAATCAATGTGTACATGGTGCTAACTATGTAGATATTTTTCCAACCGATCCAACAAAGAGTAAACATGCTATTAAGTATAGAAATACTCCACCGCAGGTGACTGTCATTTCCCGTATTCGTCAGTCGCCCGCTCGCCTCCAACTCGCACCCGCGCCGCCCGCAAGCGTCTTCGTCTTCTCCCTCCCCCCCCCCTCTCCCCCCCCCGGTGCCCGGCGAGCTCCTCCCCGCTCCTAGCGCGCCCACCGCACCATGGACGACAGCTTCAGGCAGATCTGGCGGTGACCATGGCGGATCCGGTGAGGTACGTCGTCATCGTCTTCCTCCCCCTCTTCCTCATCCTCCTGGATCTCCATGCTAGGGTTCCGTCGGTCTTTCCCCCTCTCCTTCCCAACTCCAGTGTGTATAGAAGGGCCCGACCGGCCGGATGGAGGTAGGCCGGCCAAGCGGTGCGGAAGGAGGTCGGGCAGCTTAGGGGCCCTGGCGGCGGCGGGCGCCATGGCCAGAGGGGGAGGGGAAGAAGGCGGCCACCGCGAGCTCTAGGGTTCGTAGGAGCTCTAGCGAGCTAGGGTCGCGGCCCTAGCTCGTTGGAGCTTCGGCGAACCCTAGCGCCCGCAGTGGGGCGGTGGGCGGCAGCGGGGGCGAGGACAAGGCGGAGTGGGAGGAAGAAGAACGCACCGTGTTTGTTAGATCTTGATCTAATGGTCCTTGATGGTTACTGATGGTTAACCAAACCATCAATCACCTTAAACGGAGACATACCCTATTAAGTAATACAGTTTAATGGAATATATACAACTACTATCGAAGTAACATTCAAATAGACTGATAAGCTAAGGGCCAGTGCTAGCTAAGTTACCAGGCAAGTAGTAATTGCTATTTTTGTCAGGTCGTCTTTTCCTTCTCGCTTGCCTAGCTTGCACTTTCAAGCAAAGAAACATTCCCGCTTTGTTATGTAGGGTCTATTTGATACGGTTCAACTTCACTAGTGAATCAGTTTTTTAGCTTCGGTTTTATAATGCGGCTTCACTAGTGAAGCTAAAGTTGTTTCTAAAAAATATTTACTAAAATAACTTCTCATGGAATATAGCAAAGAGAAAGCTAGAAGAAAATAGTATTTTCAGTTTTATCTCAGTTCTTGTGCCGAGAACAGCGGAAAAACAGTTCTAAGGAGAAGCTATTTTCAAAAGGCCTCAAAAACAACTTTGTGAAATCGAGAAAAATCCCTATCAAACAGGCCGTAGTGTGCCTTACACACTACATGCAGCTAAGAGCTGGCTAACTCGCTTTATATATTATATATTGAAGCTCGACACGGTACATCGACTCTCAGTCTCTGGACACTTAAGGTGGCACCAAAATTGAGCAGACACCACATGTAGGTGTGGGCGTTCGGTCATGCCCGTTGGATCGGACC